GGACTGCGCCGCCGTGACCCCTGACTCCAGCGCGCGCAGGCCCAGAGCCGCGGCGCGCCGAGCAGGCCACGCCCCCTCACGCCCAAATAGGGAGAGACCACGCCCACCACGGCGCCGGGTCACACCCCCTTTTTCCAAGTAGGGAAGGCCGCGCCCCTCCTTCCAATTGCAGACAAATTCTCGAAAACACCCGCCCCCCTGTTGACTTATGCGACCCAAAGCCACGCCCCTCCTTGCGGCTGCTTCGCGGGCACGTGAAGGCTGCGCGCGCAGCCACCCTAGGGCACCACCCCCACCAGCCCCCGGGCGCTGCGCGCGCAACCTCCGCAACCCCTCCCGCCTGCTGCCCGCGGGGGCTTCCGGGGACCAGCTGAGCCCCGGCCATCCTTGCACCCGCAGCGTGACGTCCGCCCTCCCTGCAGAACCTGGGCTATACGTGCTCAGGTCCCGGCCTGATCTGTTCTGGTTCACGGCCTCAAGTTTCCCATCTGTAAACTAGACCTAGCGTGGGGTGGGCACACCAGTGGGGTGGCGGGCACAGCAGTGGGGTGCCCTGCTCACCATTTGTAACTACTCTCATCTCTGCAGTCCTCTCTCCCCCGTCCTACAAACCACATAACCTTTCAGTAACCAGCCCATCTCTCGAAGCAAAACCCCCTTCATCCTCAATCAGGGCTGTCCATCGGCTAAGAGAACCCCTCGGTGCCCCTCCCTATTCTGAACTCACCTGGGCCTCTCACCTTCCACACCCGGCATGTGCCCTGCAACGTGGGGGGGGGCCCAGGCTCCCTGCTCTCAGATTTAGGTCCCCTCTAGGACGTGATCTTTGTGAAGCCTTGCCTTTCTCCTCCGGCCCCTGCCTCCCACCGGCTGCCCCCATTCCCTTGCATCCTAGCTGTCCCCATGCACTCCCCCGCTGCCGCCTCTGAGGGACTGTCTTGTTTGCTGGTTTCCGGTGCCTAAAATCGTGTTTGGCACATGGGAAACGCTCCATACATACTAGAAGGAATGGCACGTGTTCCCAGAATGGGAACGGGTGGCTTCAGCAAGTACCTGTGGACTGAGGGAACGTCCCAGTCCCCTCATCCACGTAAACTGTCTCTCATGAGCTGCCTCCCACTCGCCTTACACAGGGGGGTGACCCTGAGGCCATCAGGGGCCTCTCCTAACCTGCCAGTGCCTGATCACTGCAAACACCCCTCCCACCCGCCCAGCAACCGTCTAAAGCAGTGGTTCTCAACCTTCTGGCCCTTTAAATACAGTTCCTCATGTTGTGACCCAACCATAAAATTATTTTCCTTGCTACTTCGTAACTGTAATGTTGCTACTGTGATGAATCGTCATGTAAATATCTGATATGCAGGGTGGTCTTAGGTGACCCCTGTGAAAGGGTCGTTCAACCGCCAAAGGGGTGGCGACCCACAGGTTGAGAACCGCTGGTCTAAAGGGCCAGTGTCGGGTAAGACCCTGGCGACCCATCCCCAGCCCACCTCACACTCACTCTGGCTCAGGGCAGGTTTCTATTCATATTTTATTTTCCCATTTTTTTTGTGTGGTTTTTCTTTTAGTTTTTATTAAATAAAAGCAGGAGGAGAGGGGACCTGCGGTCTCTCGGGCTGTGGGAGAGCCGCGGGCCGCCCCTCCCTCTGTTCAAGGTGCACTGCGCAGTGGGCTTGAGTGTAAGCTGGGCGGGGACAGCAGCTGGAAGTGCTTGGAGAGATCAGAGGTCAGGGCCTGCGACCCATCCACACCTCCCAGGAAGACTCAGTGGGCAGGGAGGGAGCCTCCTGGACCCTGACTGGGGCTTATCCTGAGGGCTGAGGGCTGGCTGGGCCAGGGCCTGTGCTCCAAGCCACAAGGTGGGCCCCCCCGGCTCGGCTCCTTCCCCCCCCCAGGAGGAAGGCGCGGCCACGTCCATTCGTTGGAAGGTGCAGGGCTGCAGGCAGGGCTGCTGGACCCTCACTCGTGGACGTCCCAGATCTCGGACAGCAGAGGCGGCAGCTTCTTGTCCTGGAGCCGCAGGGCGAAGACCTGCTCCGAGTGCACGGAGCTGAGCGTGCGCAGGCTCACCAGCTTCATCAGCATGCGGGGGAAGCGCAGCTGGTCCTGCGGGCGACAGAGGACGGTGGGCGGTGGGCGCTGGCCAGGCCCTGCGCTGTGAGGCTCTGGCCAGCCCACCAGGAGGCCCCCCTCCCCAGGCTCAGAGGAATCTGGTGAGGCCCAGTGGCAGGCTGACTGCCACGTACCACCTCCTCCCAGACCCCTCCTCTGTGCTGACCCAAGCCTTGGTCGCCATGGGTGCTCACCCCATGGGAGTGAAGTGGAAGAACCCTCGGGACCCAGGTATCACTGGGATCCTTGCACGGGGGCCCTGGGCGAGGCCCACCCCTTACTCAGGCTGTCACCCATCTATGAAACTAGACAAGGGAGAGGTAGTTCAGGGAGGTTCCCACCCTGAGTACATCTGTCCTGGGTGTCAGAGACCTGGGTCACAAGCCAGGCTCAGGCCAGGAGGCAGGACCCCGTCCCCAGCTGACCCCAACCCCACGCGGGTCTGGACTTGCTGGGCCTCCCAGACCCCGGAGCGGGTACCTGCGGCCTCTTGATGCGCGTGTAGGAGAGCAGCGCCTCCACGTAGGGCTGCTGCAGAGCCTCCACGCGGCTGGGCTCCTGCACGTTGGGGCGGTCGGCGGAGAAGATGTTGATGGCAATGAGGAGGGCGTACTCGGCATCGTCCAGGCCCAGCCGCCGCATGGCCCGGGAGAACTCGAAGATGGGGTTGATGAACTCCACCTGCAGGCCTGCGGGGCGGGAGGCGGAGGCCCCCCGATAAACACGCCGCCCGAGACCGGCCCCCACGCCCGGCCTGACACTGCCCAGCGGGATGAGGAAGACAGCGGCCATTCTCGTGTCCCCGCTGCCTGGAGAGTGCCTGGCACGGGGAAGCTGTGCCATAAACCTGCCCCGAGTGAGGGAACCAGGTCTGAGAGCGGCCGTTTGGGCAGCAATTGCTACGCCATCACCACCTGTACTTCTCGGGTCTTCCCGGGACCTCTCCGCAGGAAAACGAGAGTCTGAAGCCCAGGTCACAGTGTGTCACCCCCTGCCGTGGCTTCCACTGCTCTCAGTGGAACTCATCCCCAAGAGGGACTCATTCATTCATTCATTCGTTCATTCATTCATTCATTCATTTGTCAAACTTCCCTGGGTACCTACTACATTCCAGTGGAGAAAGCCATTTACAAGCCAGAGTCCGTGCTCGGTGGAACTCACATGGGGGCTGAGGGGACAGATAACAGATACGTCGCCTCTCCAGCCTGTGAGGGAGCGGTGACGTCTAGAGAGCAAGCGAATGCCGGGAAGGGGAAGGGGCCGCTGAGAATCATGTCAGCTTCTCGGACAAGGCGGTCGGACAAGGTGGTCGGTTGCCCGAGGGGGACGCTGTGGGAGGGCCTCAGTGGAGGGGGACCTTTGAGCAAGGACTGGAAGGAGAGGGAGCGAGTCACGAGGAAGTGAGTGTTCTGGGTGGGGTACGACCATCTGTTCTGCCCGAGCCTGCGTGGCCTTTTGGGCCATGAGACATTCAGTGTAAAAGCTGGGAAGGCCCTGCGGGCGTGGCTCTGCTGGTTGTAGCATCAACCCGGGGTTTGATCCCCGATCAGGGCGTGTAATGACGGATGTGCCTCTCTCCCTGCCTCTCTCTCTCAAATCAATAAGAACATATCCTAAAAATATATATATTTTTAAGTTGTTTTTTTAAAGAGAAATAAAGGCAATGTGGTCTTTTAAAATCTGCTTTTAAAAGATTTTTGTTTTTTAAATCAATTTTAAAAGTAATTTATGTTGACCTCTTTTTAGCAATTTTTAAAAAATTGGGGAAAAAAAACAGAACACACACACACACACACACACACACACACACAAAACAGGGGGAAAAACTGGGAAGGAAGCCAGGATAAGCTGGTACCCTAGTTCTGGGCAAAGAGACCAGCAAGTACAAAAACTCTGAGGCGGGAGTACCTTTGATGATTCAAATAAGAAAGAGGAGACAGGAGGACAGGAGGAGAGTGAGTGAGGAGAGGGGGCAGGAGATGAGGAAGGGGAGGGCATGGAGCCAGACCCTGCAGCCCGTGGTACACTTTCCTCCCTGAGCAGAGGGACATGAGCTGATAGGGTGCTAATACTGGGCAGGGGCTGAGGTGGGAGACCAGTGAGGGACCCTGCTGTGGGCTAGGGAGACAACGGAGGCCTGGACTATGGCAGTGGCAGAGGATGGGGGGGTGGGGGGAGTGGTGGGACCCCAACCTTTTCTCCAGCTTTATCTCTGCACTCCAGCCGCCAAGGCTTCCTTGTAGTTCCTTAAAACTGCCCAGCTCTTCTCCCCCTCAGGGCCTTTGCACATGCTGACACCCTCCCCGCTGTGCCCTGCTGACAACCTCCTACTTAAAGGGTGACTGACTGTCCCGGGTGATGGGAGGGCCGCGAGTTCGAGGAAGGGAAGAGGGGGTGAGAAGCAGACACCGGGGAGTACAGACAGGTGCCCCTGGGAGAGCAGCACTTCCTGAGAAAGACCAGAGGCCCAGAGAGAGGCCTCTGCACATGGGGTTCCCCCTGGGCAATGCTACTCCCACCCCCCTTTTCCTAGGTGAGGCCTCTCAGCCCTCAGCTCGCCTGCACTTCCTCCACAAGCCCACACCCCCAAGTTTCGTGCTCTGAGAGAGAGGGCAGGGACTGGGGTTGCCCTACTTAGCTGCGTAGGCTGCACACTTCACAATGGACTGCGAGCCAGCCGCCCTCGGGTGGGACCGGGCTGTGGGTGGACAGTGTCTTTCAAGCCCCACCAAGATGCCTTCTGGGACAGCAGGGCCCTCTGTCTCCTGCTGCACTGCGTCCCAGTGGGCAGCGTCAACCACCAATACACATGCTCTTACCGCACTGCGGGGGGCACTCGACCCTCACCCCACTTTTTTTTCTTTTGACGATTTTTTTTACTGAGACAAGAAGGAAGAGGGGGAAAGAGAGAAACATCCACGTGATGCTTCTGCACGCCTCCTACGACCGGGGATCAAGGCTGCAACCTGGGCATGTGCCCGGATTGGGAACCGAACCGGCAACCTTTCGGTGCATGGGACGATGCCCGGTCAATTGAGCCACAGGCTCACCCCGCTTTAGAGATGGAAAAACGGAGGCTCGGACAGAGACCAGGCAGCCGAGGTCTCCCAGGCAGGTCTCCCCGCTGCTCTCAGCCGTACCTGCGCGATGGAAGTCGTCCTTGCTGTAGGTGAAGTCCTTCAGGAAAGTGATACACTCCGTCTCATGGTTGTAGCGTCTGGCCGTCTCCAGCAGCATGATCTGAGGGGGCAGCAGGGAGGGGGGCAGGCAGGGGCGTGAGGAGCCCCTGGGACCCCTTTGGCCACCAGTCCCTCCTCTCCTGGCCTGGAAGGGGGCCCGATCTCACCAGAATCATCCCTGGTCCCCCAGCCCCCCCGTTCTCAGCCACAGTAGCCGGCAGTCAGCACGCTGGACGCCCCAAGCTCTCTGCCTCCTCATTCCAGCTCACACAGCACCGTCCACTCAGGACACGCTCCCCGGTGGTCAGCAGGCGCCGGGGAGGGCTTTGTGTGTTTTGTCCATTGACATGTGCCCAGCACGTGGAATGGAGCCTGGCACACACTGGGCACTCAGTCCTTATTTGTCACCATTGTTTTGGCTCAAATGTCATCAACTCCAAATAGGCTTTGTGGCACGTTCTCTCGAGTGTGTCCCTCCAGCCTCAGCCCATTCCCTTTCTCCCCTTGGCCCGTGGGAACCTCTGATGACCTTGTTTAGTATTTTGACATTCCTCCATAAGAGACAGGCCCACAGCCCTAGCCGGTTTGGCTCAGTGGATAGAGCATCGGCCTGCGGACTGAAGAGTCCCGGGTTCGATTCCAGCCAAGGGCACATGCCTGGGTGGCAGGCTTGATCCCCAGTAGGGGGCATTCAGGAGGCAGCCGATCAATGATTCTCTCTCATCATTGATGTTTCTATCTCTCCCTCTTCTTTCCTCTCTGAAATCAATAAAAATATATTTAAAAAAACAAACAAAAAAAAGATATAGGCCCACAATGGCAAGGACTAAGGGGGTCGTGCTTGTTCTAGGGTTTATCTCGCAGGCAGGAGGGAAGGGGGGGGGCCGGCTGTTACCTCAATGGTAGAAGCCTTCAGGAGGGCGATCTGGTCCTCACGGCCCAGCTGCAGGAAGCCGGGCACCTGCTTGGCAAAGTCCACGATCTCCTGGACTGAGATGATGGCCAGCTCCGTGAAGTGGGCGAAACGCTGCTGGCGGGCATCGCGGGACTGGGGGTCTGCGCCCAG